ACACCACCGGGGAAAGGGGGCCTTCCTCAGAGGAAAGGGGCCAGCTGTCAGCGCCAGCTTCTCGTCCGCAGCCCGGCTGCCTCTCCTCGTGCACCTGGAGCGTTCCCTCCCGTGGGCCTTCAGGGCCACCTGTGTCTCGCCGGGCGTTTCGGGTCCTGTGTTGTCTGTGCTCCGAGCGAGAGGAGGGCGAGGCGGGCCACGCCACCCCAGCCCGCTGCCACGGGGCGGGTCTTCAGTCCCCCTCGTGTTTCTGTGGCTTCTCACATGTTCCAAGCACGTCTGTGCAGGTCCCGGGGCTTGGCCTTGTCAGAAGCCCCTGGGCGGGCACCGCGGGTGGAGAAGCCAGGGCCGGCCGCTCACACGCCTTTCCAGGGTCAAGTCTGGGCCGTCGTGTGCCTGCCGCGGCCGTGGGACCCAGGAAGGGGGGCAGGGCGCTGGGGGCGGGGACGCGTCTGTCGGTGTCACGGGGACCCTGTTTTGGGGAGCCGGTGGGGGGCGCAGCACGCCATACACATTGGGGTCAGACTGAAGGGGAAGGTCTCGATTGTGGTTTTTGGGCTGAACAAAAAAAAGAAAGGAAGGAATCTGTGCCAGTCGCTGTCCATCCAAGCAAGAAGCAAGAATTCACACTTAAATCTCCGTAAGAATTTATTCCGGGGAAGAATTTATTCAGGATTGTCCCACTTCAAAATCAGCAGAGCATATGGGTCTTATGAAATCAGAACACTGTTTATTTTATAAGAGCTTTTGACGGAACTAATAAATGTCAAAATATTTTATTTCAGGGTTGAAAGAAACTCTCAACAGTTTCAGTACTTAGCCCCTTTTTAAAAATAAATATGTCTGAAGGGGAAAATACGTTCCTTCCTAAAAAACTCAGGAAAAGTATGAACGGGCCCAGAGTCAGAAGACCGCTGCTATCTTCTAAGTGGGATAAAAATACATTATTATTTTTTAAAATGGCAAATTAAAAGTGGCAGCCATTGACCCAAAATGCCATAAGAAAAATAAGAAGTAATTTCATTATTTTGAGCATAATGGATGTATCAGGTAGTTGAAGGACTCTTGGCTGTGTCCCCCCGTTACACGCATTCATGCTGTGATGTCCCCACACGTTTGCGTCGATTCCCGGGGTCGTGAGTTCGAGCCTTCCCTGAGCTCATGTTACGGGCTGGCGGGGCTAGAGGTGAGCTGACGGTGTCTGCACCGGTCCTGATGTTCTGTTAACCAGGCGTTAACCAGGCAGAGAAGAGAGGACATTCCAGTAGGGAGACAAAAGGGTCAAAGGCACAGAGGAGATAGGAGCAGAGGGTCAGAGACCCCCCTGACCCCCACAGGGTCAGGACCGCAGTGTGGCCGGGCGCACCCTGGAGACGGTGGGGGTGCTGGCTGTGTGGAGCGGACCCCCAGGACGGCTTCGCCTTCCCCCTGGCAAGTGAAGATTGGGTTAGCCCTGCCGGTCAGCTGGCCCGCCACCCCCCCACCCCACCCCGGCCCCCGTGCCCACAGCTTCCCGCCAGGACGTGCTTGGACCTGGGGCCTCCCAGCTTCTGGCCTCCACCCAGCTTCTCTGGTGGGAGGCCGGACACCCTGTCGGGCAGCTAACAGCCTCCTGCACCTTTTTGTCCAGTCAGCTCGTGTCTCTAGATGTGTTTCTACAAGATACAGAGAGGACTTCTGATGTAAGAAGAAATACAGGGAACGTGTTCCTGCGTAAGGAACACGTAAGAAACGGAAGGAGATGTCACAAGACAATCAGCATTGGCCTTTTTCTTTGTTTTCCAGAGCACTTTGTATGTTAGGGATATTGATCTCTTGTCTGTGATTTAAGTTGCAACCGTTTTTCCAAGTTTGTTATTTTATCTTGTTTTTGCTTCTGACAGCTCTTACCTGTGCCAAAGCTGTCCCCCTGTTAACTTAATTACAGTGACAAAGGCCACCAGGTTAGAGAAGAATAAACCCATGTGTTCTAATATCTGTGTGGTTTGACTTCTCACATCAAACTTACGACCTGTCTGGAACATCCTAGAATAGTGTCTAAGGGATGGATCCCATTTTACGTTTTTCCACGTACCTCCCCAGTTAGTGACACCACTTAGTGAAACACATCTTTTCCCCGCTAATCTGAGATGCTTCCTTTATGATACAGCTGGCACACGCGGGTCCAGTTCTAGACTTGTCTCGGGTCCCCTGGACGCCCCCTCCCCCGGCTTAGGTGCACGGCCACAGCCTCGGGTGCAGGCTTCACAGCACACGGAGGGTCCCCAGGGACAGTCCCACCCCTGCTCCTTCTCTTCCCCCCCGGGGTTTTCCTTTCTGTTCTGACCTCTTGTTTTGCCAACGCAATTGTATAATCACATTACCTGGCTCCAGAGAAAAACGTGATGGCATCTGTGGTATTTGGGGGGTGTTTTTGGGGGGGAGTAAGGCAAGTTTAGAAACGAACTTTGGAAAAGACTGACTTCCTCACAGAGTTGAGTCTTGCTGTCCAAGTACGTGGTCTGTCTTTTTATTTGCTTGAGTTCGGTTATGTCTTTCAGGAGAGTTTTAGAGTTTTCTCCGTAAAGGATGTGAACATTGCTCCTGAGGGTTATGGCTGGGTTTTCAGTTTGCTTTCCTCCTGCCATCGGTGGGAACTTCCTCCCACGGTATCTTCTGACTCAGCTGTTCGTGTGCACGAGTGTGACTGATGTTTGCACGGATCCACGAGGCCCGCCACCTCTCTCACCGCCCCTGCGCAAAGTCACGTCCTTTGACTCTGGAGGGGCCGGTGCACGACCACACGTCACGTCCAGTGGAGTCAGTGTCCCGCCCGGATCTATGTCATCGCTTCCCTGTGTCCACCTGGGCTCCTGAGTAATGACTCGATACAGTGTTACCAAGTGCAGGTGGCACAGGGCCCTTGACCTTGGCTTCACGTTGGTGGCAAAGACCTGAGTGTTTAAGTAAGACGTTCACAAAGCCTCAACTAGTTACTATTTAGGAAGAGTTTGCCGACCCCTACTATAGATTAGAGATTTAGAAGATGTTTGGCCAGTGGCCGTGGGAATGCCTTGTTTGAATCGTGATTTTTAAAGGCTGACAGGAAAAATAAGCCCGCCGGAGAGCTGGAGAAACGTCAGAGAACGCTGGACGGCTTTGGGGGTGACAGTAAGGAATTACTGCTAGTTTTCCAAAATGTGGTGACGGTGACATTGTGATGTTTTTGGAACAGTCACGTCCTTTTCGGACACACATCGAAACATTTGCAGACAAAGCAGATGGACACGAGGCCAGCTTCAACCGGCTGCGGGCGGAGGGCGGGTTTGTGCAAAGTAGACGGGCCCTGGGGAGTTGGGGGACAAGTTAAAAAAGAGATTCAGGAGCTCAGCATCGCACCCCTTGCTCCAAACGCCCTCCTGATCATGCATGACGACCCACATTGTATAAGGGATGCCTCTGAAGTTTAAAATTAATCCCGCTTTGGGGCGCCTGGGTGGTTCGGTCACTTAAGCGCCAACTTCGGCTCAGGTCATGATCTCACGGTTGGTGGGTTCGAGCCCCACGTCGGGCTCTGTGCTTACAGCTCGGAGCCTGGAGCCTGCTTCAGATTCTGTGTCTCCCTCACTCTCTACCCCTCCCCGACTCTCTCTCTTTCTGTGTCTCTCTCTCTCAAAAATCCGGGCACCTGAGTGGCTCAGTCAGTTTTGAGTCCTGACTTCCACTCAGGTCATGATCTCACGGCTCATGGGTTTGAGCCCCACATCGGGCTCTGTGCTGAGAGCTCGGAGCCTGGAGCCTGCTTCGGATTCTGTGTCTCCTTCTCTCTCTGCCCTTCCCCACTTGTGCTCTGTCTTTCTCTATCAAAAATAAATAAATGTAGGGACACCTGGGAGGCTCAGTCGGTTAAATGTGCGACTTCGGCTCAGATCATGATCTTGTGGTTCGTAGGTTCAAGCTCCGGGTCGGGCTGTGTGCTGACAGTTCAGAGCCCGGAGCCTGCTTCCGATTCTGTGTCTCCCTCTCTCTCTGCCCCTCCCCGGCTCTCTCTCTCTCTCTCTCTCTCTCAAAAATCAGGGCATCTGAGTGGCTCAGTCAGTTTTGAGTCCCGACTTCCACTTGGGTCATGATCTCACGGTTCATGGGTTCGAGCCCCGTGTCGGGCTCTGTGCTGGCGGCTCGGAGCCTGGAGCCTGTTTCGGATTCCGTGTCTCCCTCTCTCTCTGCCCCTCCCCCATCCATGCTCTTTCTCTCCCTCAAAAATAAATAAACATTAAAAAAGTAAAATAAAATTAATCCTGCTTCTAGAGATAACAGGGATCAATTGGACATCATGAAACGTTTTAAAAATGAAAGAAGAGAAAAGTTTGGTTCCAGCCGAATACAAACCTGTATTTCAGGAGCCTAAGCTTGGATGCAGGGTGCACTCGATTCAGTACATCTGCGCCCGGCATGCTTTGCGCGCTCGGTAGTCTGGCACAAAGCCCGCTCTGCGGCTGCATTCCGGTCTTGTTTCAAATTGTGCAGTGAACTGCATTTTTTGGAAGTCCTTCCTGCTTGGCTGTATTTGTGGGAGCTTCTAAACACAGAGCCACACTGATTCCCTCACACAGCAGACACCCGGTCCTGGTGCCCAGCTAACCTGGGGCCTAGGAAAACAATACTGTTTGTTAAGAGCTCCAGCATAAAAATCAAATACTGTGTATCAAATGTTGCCTGGAGTATGATTTTTACACTATTATTGTTGGACCCACTTAAGTGGAGCTAATTTAGTTCCGGGATAATTACACGGTATCCTTTCTTTCTTTCTTTCTTTTTCTTTTTTCTTTCTTTTTTTTTTTTTTTTTTTTTTTTTTTTTTTTGCTTGCTTGCTTTTTCTTTCTGCTTTGCAAGCATTCATAATTTTGCTTATTGTGTTTTTATAACAGAGGAGACAATTCTTCCGTCTTCCTTAACCTCTGTTAGCTGGAAAGGCCATGGAATTAACTTTTTCTTGTTGAAGAAAAAAAAGGATCTTGACGATGTTGGGGCTCATATGGGAAGTGGATGAAGATAGTGTTCTCGGCAGGTTTTCCTGTTTGGTTACTGAGGTAAATCTCTTTTTCTTCCAACCGTGCATCATCTTCCCTGTGCCTCTCAGAGTTTATGGCCCCGCGGAATCCCAGCAAGTGGTATTTGGGGATGTGTGCCCCCTGCTTACGTCACTCTTGGACGGGTGAGTTATAATATCTCCAAGGTCAGTGATCACAGTTACAGGCAGATCTCATTCCTGCTACAGGATGAGTGTATCACGTTAGAGCCTGAGCATTTTATACAACGCAGAGCAACCCGTAGCCCCGTTGTTGATTAGTGGCCATGGGTGGTGGGGGG